TGTGGTTATTAAATTGGCTTCACTTCAATAAATAAGTTCTGTTTGCATTCACAAGAGAAGTGTTTTGGCAAACTTCATTTATATTGTGAATTGAGGTAATCTAGTGGTGGCAGTGAGAGGAAAACATGACTGGAGCCTTTGTGAGGGCACAACACGTAGGTGCCACAAAGGGTGAACGCCACAGGCATCAACCATAACTTCTTCTTTTTTTGAAGTTTTTTTCTTCTGTTGGAAAGATTACATCACTTTTGGACTATGTGTGGTGAATTTTTATGTCACATTGATTTTATGGACATTGATCTGGACATTTCATGGGCCAAACTGAATACTTCTGAAGGTCAGGTTAGGTCACATGAATGAAAAACACATCTCATGGTATGCTGTCTCAGTGAGTGGTCAACTGATAAACAAGATAATATCTTGAAAACAAATCTTGAAGAGTTCCTTCCTATGCAACCTCCCCTGGCCTGAAGAGGTACAATTTGGCCCATAATCTCTGTATAATATGTATGGAAATTAACTCATCAACTATAGAGTTGAAACTATACAGTAAGGTTTCTTGTATGCAAATAGCTGAACAGAAAGCAAATCCAAACTAATTCTACTGTTCAGGATTTGGATCATGTCACAGAAGAGACTACAGTCTCTGATTGAATCCAGATTGAGCCTTTTCCTGCTAGCGTTCTAACTCAGCCTGACATGTCTTGTTCCATAAGTTAGGGTTATCAAATATTTGCCTGCCAACCCTAACCCTTCAGCTCTTTAAAAAGACTTGAAGACAGAGCTGCTGAAATAATCCAAACCAAAGTTAAACTTCAAATGTTCCTTTAAATGGATTTCAAACATTCTTGTGTGTTAGCGTGTGTGCATGTGCACACACACATAACCAGGCATTTTAGTTGGGGGGAATTTCTTTCCGTAAGGATCCAAGTCTGAATATTTTCTAGAAATTTTGCACAAGTGTCCCATTTGACCTTGTGTGGAACAGCCTAGATTAAGCACATGTGCAGCCATCCTAATTTAATTATACATTTTGTTGTTTCTTTATATTACTTCCTTTCTAATTATTGCTACTTGGTAGTTGTTAAGAAAAGACAAGATAGAAGATGAATTACTTAGTGAAACAGTATAGAATATAATGCACTTTGAACTTTGAGGAATTAGAAGCAAATTCTGGCCTTCATTTATGGAAAGAAAGAAAGAAAGGAATTGGACATTGATTATTGGTTCCAGATCTAACTTCCCTATCATCCATTAACTCACTAGGTGGTTTAGTTGCTGTTTTTCAGCCTGGTCTCTCTCAGGTTATTGGGAGAGTGAAGTGGGAAGGAGGAGAGCTGTGTATCTGAGGATAGGGAGGACAGAAATGTAACCAATAAGCAGTCAAAAAACCCAATGTTTTTCTAAATTAGGTATGTACAATATGGGACTCACCATACTGAAGATAATACACACACACACACACACACAGAGAGAGAGAGAGAGAGAGAGAGAGAGAGAGAGAGACACGATTGCCCACCAAGATTTGCTAAGCCTATTGCCTTTTTGCAAAAATGAGCATATTTGCCAAGCATCTAGCAGAAGTACAATATATGGTTGCTTTTTCAGCTTGGTAGATCCCAAGTTGTGATGCAGGTTTTTGTAACATAACTTTGATTTAAAATTAGTAGCAAATCATAAAACAACATAAGATCTATTAACTGGCAAAAAATATGTGAAGGAAAAATTGTGACTGAATAAGGGGGAGCACCAAAGATTCTCCATACAAGTCTTCTCAGCAGACGCCCCACTGTCAAACAGATTTTCATTTTTTAAGAAAGCAACAAATTATTAGTATTTTAATTTATTATATTTTTACTCCCAACTCTCAGAAGAAATACTTGCAGAATTTCCACAACCAGTGCATGCTGAGTTGACATGTAAAATGTGGACTGAGGTTTTCTGTTTGACCTTTTATAGAGCAAGCCACTGCAACTTTGTGGCAAATGATTTGATGCAAACCTAAATATATGTTTAAAAGGCCGCAAAACTGTGGTTATCAGGTACGGTAGCTGGGACGGAAGATGGGGAGTATGATAGTTTTATATTTGTAGCTGCTGAGGCTCGGGACAAATTCATTAAATGGCAGAAGGACCACAGTAGGACCTGCTATACCAAAAGGTGATGTGTTTGATACACGTCTCCTTTGAGCTGAGTTTGGAAGTAACTCATTACAAGTGATGTAGTTAGCTGCCATGAGTTACTTATTTGCAACAAGAATGCAACAGTTATCACAAGTAGTATAAGTAGCAGGCACAAGAGATGTATGTAGTGTGTGTCTGAGAGAGAGCAATAAATAGATTTTCAATTTACTTTTTGAAAAAGTTGCTTTTAAAGGGTAAGCTTAGGCTTTTGAAGGGTTTTGAGTGGAGTTTTTCAAGATTTATGCCATTTTTTGGTAAAGCCTATGCCTTAGCAACACAAAAGTACTGAAAAAGTAAGAAGTAATTTCAAAAAATGTACAAGTAACTGTGGGGGGCCACCATTCCAATACGGATTAATTCCGTAAGTAGAGGGTCCAGTGTATAAGTCGCAGGCACAAGAGATGTATGTATGTTGTGTGTGTCTGAGAGAGAGCAATAAATAGATTTTCAATTTACTTTTTGAAAAAGTTGCTTTTAAAGGGTAAGCTTAGGCTTTTGAAGGGTTTTGAGTGGAGTTTTTCAAGATTTATGCCATTTTTTGGTAAAGCCTATGCCTTAGCAACACAAAAGTACTGAAAAAGTAAGAAGTAATTTCAAAAAATGTACAAGTAACTGTGGGGGGGTTGGGTAACAGATAAGAATTACTGTACTCTTTGGGATCTTACTAACAAGTTTCATAATTATTTTAAAAAACTTATGTTCTAAATTCAGTACCTGTTAACCTTATGTTTTTACTTGTCAGTTCCCATGCATAGGCTTGGATTGTTCGTTATCTGTGTCGAAGCATGGTAATAGAAAACTGAGTTGCAATGAAATCCAGCTACCTAATTAGCTTTTTATATTAATGACTCCCTATATGGTTTGCCGGCATCGTATCTATTAAAAAATGTACAAGTAACTGTGGGGGGGGGGTTGGGTAACAGATAAGAATTACTGTACTCTTTGGGATCTTACTAACAAGTTTCATAATTATTTTAAAAAACTTATGTTCTAAATTCAGTACCTGTTAACCTTATGTTTTTACTTGTCAGTTCCCATGCATAGGCTTGGATTGTTCGTTATCTGTGTCGAAGCATGGTAATAGAAAACTGAGTTGCAATGAAATCCAGCTACCTAATTAGCTTTTTATATTAATGACTCCCTATGGTTTGCCGGCATCGTACCTATGCAATGGGGCCATTTAATAAAAGCCACTACAGTTACTCTTGCCACAACCTAAGTTTTCTGTGGTGCTATATTCCATATAACCCATATGTAGCTTGCCATATTCCACTTTATCTAATCTGAGCATCCAGTTTTTGTATTGTGCAAATTAGGCAGTTTTACTTGCAAATGCAAATATGCATAGTTTGCAAATTAATGCAGTTTTTAATGTTATTCAAATTAAGCATTTTAATTTTGCATTGTTTTTCTAGCACTATGTCTCAGCCTTCACATTGTTTATAAAATAACCACTGATCTAACATGCCACTGTTTCTTGCCAAAACAGTGACTGCATGGTTAAACTTGTATCTCTAGCTCTATAAGGGCTTACTTTTTTTAAAAAGGAGCTTGGAATCCATTCCAGCTGGTAGGCTCATTTGGGCATCCTGAACATGAAAGACACTACAGACTAGAACAACGGGAAAAATTGGCAGTAGCTGATCATGCCCTGAAACAAACTGGATATGAAATCCTATTTCAAGATACAAAACTACTGGACAACACCAGCAGTCATTATGTTAGACTATTCAGGGAAGCCACTGAAATCCACAAACACCAGCACAACTTAAAGAAACAAGAAGAAAGTCTAAAAATCAACAAAGCCTGGCTTGCAGCACTGAAAAATACAGCTTGCAAAAGGTCAATGAACTCTACCCAGCCACAAGGACCAGTGATCACGGCACACGAAACACCAGCCAATGACACCCATCAATCACAGTGACAGATAATCTCCCCCCCTTATCACAACAAAACACCCATAACAAAAAACACCCTGATAACAGGAAACCTCCAATCTCCTGAAAATAACACACACACACAAGAACAAAAAAACCTTATCCCACAGCTACAAACACTCAACAATCCCACACACTATACCAGAACACAAACAGAATTCTAGCTCCTATCCTCTGAAGATGCCAGCCACAGAGATTGGCAAAACATTAGGAAGAAAAAACCCCAGAACATGGCTAAACAGCTTGAAAAGCCCACAACAGCTATTTACAGTCATGCCCCGCTTAACGATTACCCTGTATAATGACAAATCCACTTCATGACGATGTTTTTGCGATCGCAATTGCAATCGCAAAACGATGTTTTAATGGGGTTTTTCTGCTTTGCAACGATCGGTTCCCTGCTTCAGGAACCGATTCTTCGCATTATGACAATCAAAACAGCTGATTGTCGGGTTTTCAAAATGGCCGCCTGTTGCTCAAAATGGCTCCCCACTGTTTTTAGGAGGCATTTTTCGCAAGGCAGGCACCCGAAAATGGCCGCCGTATGGAGGATCTTCGCTGGACGATTAGGTATTTCACCCCTTGGAACGCATTAACCGGTTTTTAATGCGTTTCAATGGGTTTTTAAATTTTTGTTTGATAACGTTTTCGCTCTACAGCAATTTCACTGGAAGCGAGGCACCATTGTATTTGTTTATTACACTTTCTCTTATTAGTTGCAAGTGGCTGACACAGTAGTTTTTCCAACGAGTCAAAGCTGTACCATATGCCTTCAAACCATTCTTTTGCCCTTCCTAAGAAAGGTACATTTGATTGTAGTATAAGCATAATCTGTTTGGCAGGAGAAACTGATGTCCCTTTTTTACTGTTCACTGTATAGGTTGATGAGGACCAATTGCCCCCAGAGCACACAGTCAACCAATATGAGACATTTAAGATCAGGGCAATAAAAGCTGGTACTCTGGAGAAGCTTGTGGAGAACCTACTGACAGCTTTTGGGGATTATGATTCCACCTACATCAGCATATTTCTGTCAACATACAGGAGCTTTGCTTCTACAAAAGAAGTTCTGGAACTGCTTCTTGACAGGTAAGAGTCACTAGCTAGATAAAGGAAGACATCATGTAGACTGTCCTAAGGGCTTAAGGCTATAATCACTTAAGATAGTGATTATAGATTCGTTTTAAGGTGAATTTTTAAAAATCAATTATTACAAAGATCATTGGATTTGAAAATGTAATTCAAAAATAGGAGTGTACTATCTCCCATTTAACTTCTACAGTCAAGACTGTACAATACATGATTTCGTACCAGGATGGTTTCATTGTGCAATTTCAAATTTACATGGTAGTTAGTATCCTCAGAAGCTCACCTTTTAGAAATAGAAAATAGAAAAGGACAGACTTCTAGTCCTCATGGTAGTAAAGTAAAATGGTAGGATGGGGTCACTGCTGGGATGGAATTTAGTGATGCCTATACCTCTGTGAGAGGCAGACCTTGACCATTTATGTACATATTTATTTCCTGTCCTATATCAAAAGGATGAGATGCAGTCATCTACATCATCTAACAGCAAAGTAAAATGATTCAGATGCTTCAGTTCAAAAGTTTATGTCTGCTACCTAGCATATAACTTCTGTAACTAGGGCTGTGTAATAAAATCATCTTAAAACAATTTGAATTCAAATATTTTAAAGCACATTAAAATATTTAATTATTTAAAAAATAAACATACCAATAGACTGAAAGTCAAACTGTTCTCAGTACATGGCAAATACGTGAGTAAAAAGCCAGATATGTCTGATGCATGTACTTTCTGTCCAGCCTTTTTTCATGTAGATGGAGTCAAGATGGCTTGCAAATGATTTTAAAACTATCACAAATAAATCACAATGTTAAAAACGTTTAGAAATATTCATTATTAACAGGTACAGAATAGACACTGGGGGAGTTCTGCAGCTTTCTCTCTTGTCTATACCAAGCATGCTTGTGAGAGCAGTGGAACTGAGAAAAAGTCCTCGCCCAGAGATGTTAAGCCTAACAGAGTCATCCAGATTGCAATGAGTTTCAGGAACGAAAGACTCCCTTCTCCTATCCTGCAGCTCCCAGTGGCTTCCAAATGGTGAGCCTCTTTTAGAAGAGAAGGCAGATTTTTTTTCCTAAAAAAATGATGCTACTGCTTCTGCCCACAAGTCTGATGGGGCATAACTTATGGCAAGAGGATTTCTACAGTTGTCTCTTAGTAGAAATACTTCACTACCATTGCCACACTAAACCTGCCTCTTAATGCAGTCTGCTTTGGTAGCTTCGCATAAGCCATGTAATATCCTGTGGCTTGAGTTGTAAATCCAGATTTGAAAGTGGAGATGATTTTAAAAACAAAAACATCCAGCCCCCACTAAAAGACTATGGAAGAAGTCAATGCTAACAGAACCAATTGTCACTGCAAGTTGTAGTCTTCAGTTTCCTTTCCAAAGACATTTTACATTACAAAGCAAGAGAAGAAGTGATTTGCATGGTGTCCTGAGCAAGGTTGAGCTTCCTGTGCAGAGGTCTGCTTTAGTCATAGCTGGCTGAGGCACAGAAATAGGGGTGATAGAGAGAAGCTTGAACTGCAGCTGTTCATTGTCATTCCTGCATTGTGTTTCAACAGAAAACATTGGGTTGCTTGCTATCTATCCAGCACTTTCACAAAATATGCAGCTAAATATATAGTATATTCACTCCCTTTGCTCAGGGGCTCAAGGACTATTGTTTTAATGAGCACTAACAACACAATCTTTATGGATTGCTTCTTCTTCATGGATTGCTGCTAAGGACTATTGTTTTAGTGAGCACTACACAACACAATCTTTATGGATTGCTGCTTCTTCATGGATTGCTGCCTTGTCGTGGCAAAGGGGCTTGAGAAACTCAGAGAAGCTGTGGGCTATGCCGTGCAGGGACCCCCAAGACGGACAGGTCAGAGTGGAGAGTTCTGACTAAATGCGATCCACTGGGAGCGGGCATTGGCAAGCCACTCCAGTATCTGTGCCAAGAATACCCAATGAACAGAAACAAAAGGCTAAAAAATATGACGCTGGAAGATGGGTCCCGCAGGTCGGAAGGCATCCAACATGCTACTGAAGAAGAGCGGAGGACAAGTACAAGTAGCGCCAGAGCTGATGAAGTGGTTGGGCCAAAGCCGAAAGGACGCTCAGCTGTGGACGTGCCTGGAAGTGAAAGGAAAGTCCGATGCTGCAAAGAAAAATATTGCATAGGAACCTGGAATGTAAGATCTATGAACCTTGGGAAGCTGCATGTGGTCAAACAGGAAATGGCAAGAATAAACCTTGACATCTTGGGCGTCAGTGAACTAAAATGGACAGGAATGGGTGAATTCAATTCAGACGATCATCATATTTACTATTATGGCAAGAAGCCTGTAGAAGGATTGGGGTAGCCCTCATGCTGTAGTCAACAAAAGAGTAAGAAAAGCTGTAATAGGATATAATCTCAAAAATGATTGAATTATTTCAAAAAAATCCAAGGCAGACCTTTCAATATCACAATAATCCAAGTTTATGCACCAACCACCAATGCTGAGGAGACTGAAATTGACCAATTCCATGAAGACTTAAAACAACTTCAAAACTGACACCAAAGACGTTCTTCTCATTATAGGGGACTGGAATGCTAAAGTAGGGTGTCAAGAGATAAAAGGAACAACAAGTAAGTTTGGCCTTGGAGTTCAAAATGAAGCAGGGCAAAGGCTAAGAGAGTTTGGTCATCACAAATGCTCTTTTCCAACAACACAAGAAGCAACTCTACACATGGAAATCACCAGATGGGCAATA